TTCAAATGACATAACTATTGGGTGCCCGATGTGCTCCACGTTCAATTCAACTTAAATAAATGACCAATTCGACGGCAACTTCTAAGCGGTGGCAGGATATTAAATCCAGTGAAAAAGTCGAGTCATGAATATCACTTCGTCACACCAGTGCGACAACATACAGTGGTTCTGCTTCCTATTTACCCGGTCCTCGACTTGTTGCCTGTCTATAGTATATGGTGACGATTAGAGTGAGTATTGTTTGACGCCGCCTGCAGCAATATCACGGCGGGTTGTGGTGGGGGTGGGGGTGAGGGTAGGGTGGTGGGTGGGGGTGTACAATAAATGGGCTTCACACTTTTTTACCCATGAGGGGAATCGAACCCGTGTCTTCGGCGTGACGAGCGAACGCTTTAACCACTAGGCTACCCCACCGCCCAAAAGATGATGATTAGAATGTAACTGGCATTACTGGCATATGAAAATTGACGCCATTCACACTGATCCGAAATTCACACTGGGCCATAAATATCAGTAACGTCATTAATTGTGACTCTAATGCTAGAACACGCTACCTTATTCACCTCAACAGATGTCGATAGTAAAAAAGACCACAAAACAAACATTAATATCCTACTTTTGGTAGCACGGGTAGCCCATTCGCTGTGCCGAGTTGCGTCCCTTTATAATGACAGGATATACTGTCCATGGGTTCGAATTCCGGATTCACCTTGCTCATGGTTCTTGGATTTGTCAGGAACATATCCATATTGGTGGATTTCAGGTCTACGGACTATCATTTTGGGCGTTCTTCCGATATTAGGGGCGGTGGGGTAGCCTAGTGGTTAGCGTTGGCTCGTCACGCCGAAGACCCGGGTTCGATTCCCGATATGGGAATGTGTAAAGCCCATTTTCCGGTGTCCCCGGCCGGGATATTGCTGGAATATTGCTAAAAGCGGTGTAAAACCATGCTCACTCACTCTTCCTATATTACAGCAAGTTGATCGCCGTGTGTCTTAAAGGTGAGGTGAAATGGGGTTTAACTTCGCATCCAAGATTATTGCACTTATATAGCGACGTGCATGCACGTGTGTGTGTGGCTGCTTGTACTAGTCCGGACTGATGCCGATTTATAGTGCTAGCACAACGAGTTACTATGCCGCATGAATACCCCACTCAGACACAGTATACTGACTCCCAGCCGACCAGTCCTTGGTTTGGCCCCTTAATGCCGAGCGCCAGACAGGGTAACAACAAGTAACATCTTTTAACGTCTTTTGGTATGACGCGGGCGGGGATCGAACCCCGGACCTTCCGCTCTCCGGGCGGACGCTCTACCACTAGACCACGGAGGCGGTCACGAATAACCGAGTGAGAATGGGTTTAAGCCGCATTTAGTAATATTTCAGAACTATCACAGAATCAGAATCTCCGACTTAAATCATGTTATGGTTGATAAATAACGTTTCTATAATAATTGTACATAATGAGAATAATGACTTAGAGTTCAATCACTTATAGTATAGTAAACTACGGTTATAACGAACTCAAATGGACCACTAATTTTAGTTCGTTATAACCGTAGTTGTTCTAAGCATATATACAACATCTATACAGCAAATGGCCGGGACCTTAATTAAGTTCGTAATATCCGTCAGTTTGTTATAAGCGTGTTCGTTATAAACGTATTTTACTGTACTTGTTTTTCGGGCAATGGCCACTGAATTCCTGGCTCAGAATCAGCTGCAACAACGACATCATAATGAGTTTCTGTTACTAAGTATCATATAAGATTAATCATGTACACGTACCTCCACGACAGCTCGAACTGGACCATTATCCACCACCGTGGCAGGTTTCACGACATCGATAACAATCCGTCTAAAATTAAAATTGGTTCACTTATAACTACGATTTATGAAAGCCGATGATAAGTTTTTGCACAGACGAGACGTGACGGCATAGGGTGGCAAATATGAAGTTCGAGGACCCTCCTTGGTCACGTGAATAGCCCTCTGCCATGCATCAAAGTAGGAGTGAGTTGGGTTTAACGCCGCTTTTAACAGTATGCCAGATATATCATGGCGTGTCAGCTTAATGTGGGAGGAAAGCCCGAAGTGATACAGGTCTCAGACGTTTACCCTTTCGGTGAAACCTACGAGCACGGGTATGGTGCTGACAAACCTAGAAACATAATCGGGGCGAACCGGGATTCGAACCCACAATCATAGGTTTCTGGCGTGCCCAAGGGACTGCACAACGAATCGCATTAGACGTCTAGGCCACCCGTGCCCCCGCTTCATTTAGAAGAAAGGGATGAAGATTATAAACGTGAAAACTCGTTGAAACTCAAATTAGCGTAAAGCCAAGACTGGTGACTTCACCCACTCACACCAATTTGGTGGGAATATTACGTGCCACTATCCCCCACCTGTGCCATTGTTTATCGAATGAGGTCGGCAGTTCGACACCCCGGCCGCGTCATACCAAAAGACGTTAAAAAGATGGTATACTTGTTGTTACCCTGCCTGGCGTTCGGCATTAAGAGGAGAACACAAGGACTGGTCGGCTCGGAATATCCTTGTAAGACGTAATTTTTAGAGACATTCGCAAAATAGGTAAAAACCCGTGACGCTCTCATGGGACTAGGATTCAGAATTACAAGAATGGCGCGTTCCAGGTGCTCAGCAGAGGAATAACAAAGGAAGTCACATTGTTTAATCGTCAAGTACCGTAGTTAACATGACAAATATGATACATAGAGGATATTCTATGAGTGGTCATGTCATGCTATGTTTACGACACAAGTGTCTAAATACCAGAATTTAGGCACGAGTGTCGTTAACATAGTATGACGTGAACACCGCTATAATGTTCTATTTATTGCAGACGAAGATGTCTACAAACAAAGACGAATTTTAGTGGATAGAGCGTCTGACCGTAGAGCGGAAGGTCGTGGGTTCGATCCCCGGCCGCGTCATACCAAAAGCCGTTAAAATGATGGTTCTTGTTGTTACACTGCCTGGCGTCGGCTTTAAGGGGCTAAAACAAGGACTCGTCGGCTCGGAGTCAGTATAATGTGTCTCGTTACTCGATTCCTTACAGCCAGGTCACAGTGGAATATTGTTGACTCCCACTCACGTCTACACGTCTGAGTCAACCTATGGTCATTATATAGTCGAAATCGTACCATGGAATCTGCTTTAAGTAACGATTTCGTATGAAAGTGAAAATTTTGTGTGTGTGGCTTTTATTGTTCGGGAGTTGGCAGAGATGAGTTGTTACCATTGTCGGGTCTTCTCAACCTCTCCCTAGTCTCTCAGTTCGACCTTCTATTATCCAGCTTTATATTTGATGGAGAGCTCTTGAACTAAGAGCAAATGGTTATTTATCGAAATGTGTTGGTGTATGCAGTCGCATTGCTGTGGGTCTATGATACAGCTGACCGCCTCCGTGGTCTAATGGTAGAGCGTCCGCCCGGAGAGCGAAAGGGCCAGGATTCGATCCCCGGCCGCGTCATACCAACAGACGTACTTGTTGTTACCCTGTCTGGCGCTCGGCATTAAGGGGCTAAAACAAGGACTGAGTCAGTATACTGTGTCTGAGTGGGGTATTCATGTTAATCTGCGGCATGGTATCTCACTGTGCTAGCACTATAAATCGTCATCAGTCCGGACTAGTACAAGCAGCCACACACACGCACCTACACGTGCATGCACGTCGCTATATAAGTGCAATAATCTTGGACGCGACGTTAAACTCCATTTCACCTCACCTCACCTATGATACAGCTGCTTGATCTGCCCTGATGTTCATACCTCGTTATGTCCGGATATCTCGAGGTTACAACACTGTCCCGCTAGGTTGAGATAACGTGTTCGACTGTATGTAATCAGAGGTTCATAAAAAGCAACTGCTACATATTCCAGTATAACTTCATAAACAACACACAAGAGAATCTGTACTTTACAAAGAAAGTGTTATCCCAAATATAACATTATAACACACAAATTGCTGGTAAGAATTTGGATTGTTCAATTCAGATTTTAAAATAATTTATCTCAATAATATCGTGTCTCATCATTACAGCTGACTAAAATGAGGATCGGATGGTCAAGATGAAACCTGGCTGGCAGGGTGGGATGTTGCCAGACAGCAAGGGGCGGCAGGGTAGCCTTTTGGTTAAAGAGCTGACTTGCCACTCTGAATACAGATCAGATCTGGTACTCCAGTAGATATATATGCCTGAAGATCTGAGGGCACCTCGGTCGGGGATTTTAGTCAATCAGCATCGAAGCTTTTAAGCGAAGCATTCAAATCAGCATATCTGATTTCTGTATCTCGAAAACAATCTTTTAAACAGCCAGTTCCGAATGTAAATAATTAAGGACCAGCTAGTATATTGTGGATACTTTGTACATCCATGGCATCAACTTCCAAGGCATATTTGTGTTTGTGGTTTTGTTTTGTGGAATCAAAATTTCCGAAAATGGGTGGTATTAAGGCAATTAAGCCGAAGCTGACATATGATTGGCTCAAGAACAAACGCATCCTTCATTTAGATTGGACAGGCAAAGATGCATAGGATTAACCTGCACCTGACATTACCTTTTATGGAGGCATCATCAAATCTTCTCCTAATGGGGTAAAAGACTTAAAATAGTGAGATTATTTAACCCAGTTTAATCCATTTTTCATATAAGTTGTGAATGTAATGTTTGAATCCCACTACCTGTCCCTCCAACTGCCATGGAGGGATAATTGGTAGCAGCCATGTCGCCACCAACTCCTTCACACATCTGACAGGGGTTGTTGCTCCTGCTATCAACCACTACTACACCAGGACAATACCACCTTATTTAGAGGCAACCGCGATACAGCTCCAAATAGTTGAATGTGACTTCCATAACATTCACTTCTCTCAATCCGCCTCTCAGACTGGACACAAAGGGGAGACAACTGTCTCTTTCTTAATGTCTCATTTTCTCCCAATCCTTCTTCAAACAATGACAAAAAAATGATTCATAGACAATGCACTTTTATTCAGCATATATTTAATGAGTTGAATCATTCAGACGATCTAGTCTATAAAAATACATCCCATAATGCAACAGTTGCAGTGAAGCAGACTGGGCAGCCAAGGGGAGACTACTCTTACAGCTTAAACTTTCCAAAATATCAACAAAGTAAACCACTATTTCAACAAGTTTGGACATTCCATGATATGATTAAATGCTCGTACAAAATTTACAATGTGGTGGGTATGCTGTGACCACTTGATAGGAAAACACTCAGAGGGGTTTCGTTTGATTAAATATTGATTTAACATCACTTGATCAGCCATTTTGATATCTAGCATGTTTTCATATCACAGTGCAACAATATGCAATAATTACAATCAAACATAATTAAATTAATAAATTTGATACGATGTATACACTTAAAAGTACATTTCAATAAAACCAAAAATAATAATTTAACACTAACTCAAATAAAGTGCATTAACAATTATCAATAAAGGCACAGATTGCAAATTTTGATCCAGTTTTCATACATTGTTTGTTCAACGAACATGCACCAAGTTTTTTTCGATGTGAAATCTCGCAAGCTATTGCTTATCAAAGGCATAACGACAAGTGTAACAAATATACAACCTTATATACATATTTACTCTCGTTTGTACAAATTGTATATTACACAGAATACAATATATTCTACATGAGTATTTCATATGACTTAAAAAGTTAGTATTGCTGAGGTCACATGACCCGATCACATGAGCTGATCACATGACACAATAAGATGAGGTATTGCTGAAGTGGGATGTTTAGTCTCCCACAATGCTTTGCATATAGAAGTCAAAGAAATTCGTATCACTGTACGATTTCTACCTTTCCCCTTTGTAAGACACGGTCACGAAATGTTTTCGAAAGTCATAAGCCTGAGTCTTACAAATGGTGATTATAAGTAATTGTCCTCTTGTAGGATCACATTCCATCTGAGTCAAAATCCTGTCTTAACTATGACTACATAAACAGAAAGTCAAGAAAAAATAATAAATAAACTCATTACGTGTCAAATCATCTAGTTCTTAATATAGCACTTTCAGTTTGCATGAAATTATTTATTTCAATTCATATTTCATATTAACAATATTTTCATCTTTTAATGATAATAAACAAACAAATGTTTCATAGTCAGTCCCATATGTGATACGCACTTATGCATACTACCTATCTGTTCTCCTACAAGAATAGTGACTTGTCGTTGCTGTATTTTCTAGAGCTGTCACAGTCAATATTGATAAGAAAAGTTATGTATCTGCTAGCTATTTATTTGTTGCTTAATTCACTGTGCCTGTGCACTGGTCATAACCTACTCACACAATATTTTACAATTTCACAATTTTAATAACTAATTAAAATAAATACCTAAATTTAATGAAGATATTAATTTGATTGATGTTAAATGAGGATTGGTGAAATTAATCAAATTTTAATGTTGTCATTGAAGGGATATTTGTTATGAAGTGAAATTACAAACATGAAAACAAGTTGTGTAACCTAATTGTGACATCAGATGCTGCAAAAGACCTTGCAGAACAAAACCTTCCTTTCCTTTCCTTTGACTGGAAGATTCTGCTTGCAACCATGTCCCAAGAATGGCAGTCAATTGTGATCAATAATGTTCAATATGAACAACTGGAAGCCAAAATACTGTGAATGACAACGTTGGATGGGATTAGCCACAACACATTCAGTGTAACACAGGACACATCCTAGTGACAATGTCCTAGGGATATTTCACGGCACAACTGGGTCCTAGTGACCAAGAACATCCCACGACAGCACTGAACTAGTCTAGGACAGCAGGTTATTGGCAGTGAGGCTCTACAAGGTTCAAAGTTCAAAGTTCACATATTCTTCCATTCACTCCATTCGAGTCCTGGTTCTGGCACACTTTCTACACTTGTTCAACTCTAACACACACACACGCACTAATGTCTGCTGCAAGTGACGTCTGCTCCAAGATGGCGTCTGCTAGACATACGATATGTCTGTATAACAGTCTATTTCTTGATCAGACAAACCACTTCCACTCTCTTTCCGTCGAAATGGATACAGAGTTAGTGTGTCGAGGTCTTCTGAGGAGGACGAGAAAGAACCATAGTCTATGGATTGTGGCCCAAATTTGCGAGTTGACACAGACTTGTGTGACTTTGTTGAAGAACTATGATTGCTGGCACTGCCGTTACTGCTATTACTAGACGTGCTCAGGCGTGAATTGTCTGCAAGGCGCCGGAAGGGGGGTGGGGACTTGTAAGGTGGGGGGCCAGGACGCGAGGTAGATGTTATTGTGACGGATGACACTGAGCGGGAGGTTTTCTGTTCAGGAGCATAAAAGTGAGATGAGGTTGTGGTTGTGATACCATCTGACTTCTCAGCAAACCTCTGCTTCAGTTGACTGACACTCCACGGAAGGTCTTGACTGGCTGAAGAGGAACTACTTTCTGTTGGATTGCTCACAGTTACAGAAACCAAACTACGTGCTTTGCATTTGGACTTGTCCAAGTTTGACACACTGGATGAAGTAGAAACGTTCTGAGAGGACACTTTAGACGAATACTGATTCTGAGAGGCAGAAGAGGAGGCCTGTTTCTCCTCTCTTGGTTGGTAGAAGTAGGTTGCTCTCTGTACGCTGTGCACTGGGCTGGTGTCCGTCCGCCCCCTCTGTTCCTCATTCTCCTTGTTAAGTTCGTAGTCACGCCTTGACACACGTGGACTGTACCGACTGAGTTTGTTAAGCCTGTCAGCAGAGTCACTTAAACTTCGATGTACACTTGGCAAATTAAGAGTGGTCTTAACCCTATCACTGGGCTCCGCTTTTGAAAATGATGTAGGTTCGTTACTAGTCCGTACACTGTCAGATTTCGAATATACTTTAGAGTCTGTTTTATAGGATCGCGAAGACTCTGCATCATAGCTTGCTCTGGATGAAAGACTTGTTTTAGAAAAAGCACTAGAATTTGATGAGGAACAGGATGAGGGCCCATGGTCTAGTTCAACCTCATTCTTCGGAGTCACCGTAGCCTGTTGTTCATACAGCTTCCGGGATTGGTTATATACCTCCCGAGGATCTTTCCGTAGTTGATCATGTCGAAGGGTGACATAAATATCTTCCTTTTCTCCATCCTCATCTGGACTGAAGACCTGGACTACACTTGAACTCTCCTCTCTAACAGTCCGGTATGTCTTGGTGACGGGGTCCGATGTCTGCTCAATGTGCTGCTTTAGGTGTGACGTCTGCTTCATGACATTGCCACTTTTCTCGGAATCATCACTAGCACCATAATATTTCTTAACAGAGTCAGCGTAAAGCTTTGCAGCACGAGCACTGGCCTCTTTCTGTTTTTGAGTATCTTGTTCAGAAATCTCCATGAGTGGAATCCCATGTTTTATCCGATAGTTCCTGCTTAAAGCTTCCTGGTAGGAGGGGGGCTGATGTGGCCGCTTGCTTTCAAAGTCTAAATGTTCAGAAGATGTTTTTGACTCAGAATCGTAATTGCGGCCAAAGTTCCTCAGTAGCTTAGACTTTGACAAACTATCAGGCAAGCTAGAAGTCCTGGATTCACAGTCATCATCACTTTTAGAAGCAGATTCTAAACTATTTCTCCTGATTTGTGAAACAATAGCACTGTCATGACTGGCTTTCACTGGGTTTGAGTCTTTCCTTGGCGACATCCTCTGCCCCTGCAGTCGTGACTGAGAGCTGAGGCCCTGTGAATACAATGAGATCTGCTTAACAGGAGCACTGGATGAAGAACCGCTTTCAAAACTGGCTCTCCTCACTTTATCAGTGTCATTGTCATCAAGACGCTCATCCGAGCCACTGGAACAGTATGTTATTGAAATCTCTGGTGATGTGACTGCCGGGACTTCTTTCTGCACTGTTGTTTTATAAGTTGCTGCTGGCATTGAATGTCTCACACTTGGGTCTTTCACCGACTCCGAAGTCTTTGCCCTCCTTTCCACAGCAGGAGATGCTGGAGGCGAAACTAAGTATCTCATGTTCTGCATGGACTTGAGAGAATATCCACCGTAGGTTGCACTCAGTTTGTTAGGCGATGTTGTTTCTGTGAAGTTCACATTGGAATGCAGCGTTGTTGGATTCGAGTTGGATCTCTCTCTCTCCTCCAGTGACCACAACACTCGATCGGAATCCACATCTGGCGTCTGGGGAGCCGAATTGATGGAGGTTCCTCGGGACAGGTCATGCATGTAGGAAGAGTCTGACAACACACTGTCATATGAACTACCGTACGAGTGCTTCGAATGAGGAGAGAGAGGAGGTGTACTGTCTGTGACGGATGACTGCCGCACCAGTCTGTCCCGGCCTTGTCGGCCTGGTTGTCCCTCCACAGAGGACACTCGAGGAAGGGTCTCGCTGTCCATGTAAAGATGAGCACCACTGGCTGACTTGATTAGATAAATGTCAGCAGATTTCCGGTGGCTAGAGAAATCCTTCTCACTCTCACCCTCCGTGCTTTCTTCCACGCTGTGCAGTGAGTCACATGAGATTCTTTTCTGATGCTGCATCTGACGCAACACTTCTGGCTCCAGCGAATGACAAAGACGAGCACCAGAGGAGTATGATGTGATATACTGGCGGTTGTAGTTGTCAAAGCTTGAAGACTGCACATATTCCTTCTTTCGCCGAAATCGTGGAGGGGGTACAGGGTTCTGGTTGTCAATGTTATCAATGGACCTTGTGTATATGTCGTTGTCATGGTCCATGTAGGAGGTGCTACGGTACATCTTCCGCTCGGTGGTGTCGAAGTCGCACTCCTCGTCATTGAGTTGGGAGTCACTGTGGGACAGACCCGAGTCGTGGCTTAGGTTGGATGGGGACAGATGACTCTTGGCCAGTTTGGGACTGGCATCAGCTTCTGTGTAGAGGTCACGGTCAACCAAACTGTCAATGGACGAGTCGTCTCGTCTCAAGCCATCTGAAACAAGACAGCACAATGCTTAATTCAGTCACTCATGTAATTGTTTCTGTAAAACAGACACAGGAATAACTTTTAAGAACAAAATTTTAAACATGATTATTTCTGCTTCAATCCCAAAATCAAAACTATAAACTCTCAGCTTATACTAACAAGGGTCATAGCATTAAGATTGTTATGAACAGGTTCAGATTTGAAAAAGTAACTTTTATTACATATTTATTGGAAGTGTTTCAAAATGAAATTTCCACTCACTATTGAGACTGTCTGAGTCTGTGCCAGAGTCCTGCCTCATCTTGTGGTCCACCTCACCCAGCAAGTGAGGAGTATCGTCTCCGAACACGCTGCACACATTTTTTATCATAAACTCCACCACTGAGACCACAGAGCTCACGTTGATGGAATAATTGGCCATGTCGTCCTGTTGCTTCCACAGCAAACTTGGGGCGATACAGACGGAGATATTATTGGCATTCATCATGTTCACGTCCTGATGGTGGTCAATCTGGTACAGAACACTCATCAACAGCTTCAGCAAGTGCTGGTTGCACAACGGCAAATCCTGGTACAGCCTGCAACAGAATTGTTGGAATAAATATACCATCTGATGCATAAGGGAGTAAGATTGCACACGCTTTTATAATTATTTAAAAAATATCACCATAGACCCCAAAAGTTGGCTTTGTTCATTGTACCCATGTTGGATTCAAACTCAAGACTTTGAAACACTATAACCCCTCGCCACCCCCTGCACAAACTTGAACTGATAAATATATTTATTCCACTGATACCATCTGATTTGAAAGAATTACAACCTTGGCAGAAGAAACAGTTTTTCTATGATAGTCTGTAATTTCAATCTATTAATAATCTCATATTATACTTAGTGTATACTAATCCAAAACGTCTTAGCTATCTGGATTAATAACTCAATTTTATACATTTGTAAGACAATTCCTTACATTTTTTTTATTCAACAAGTAGAAATGCATGTCTATCTGTTCAAATGCCTGGCAAAGAATTCAAAACAAACTTCAACATCACTTGATGAAAAAAGAAAAATATGCATCCTCTTAAAACATGCCTGCACTTTTCCAAATATTTTTAATGAGTCTGCAACCTTCAACAGTCTGGGTCAGGACTTAAGACAAAGACAACTGAGCAGAAAAATCATTAACAATGTTGACACAGCCATATTAAACGCCGATTGTTTTTTCCAATTGTTTCAAATTCTTGAAATAGGACGAAGAGGACAAACAATGTACAACTCGGCCGCTGGGTTGGGAACCTGTCGTATTATACAGGGATGCTTCTGGGCCCTGCATCCCAAGCAGGTGGAATGCAGGACAAGACAAGATAAAGTCCACGACATACTGTCTACCCATCAACTTGTGTTTGTTCAAATCCCTTCGTCCGTCATTTAAAGCCAAACCACTGCAAATGGCCTCCAACTATGTCAAGATACTGAAATCCTTCCTTCAAGGCTACTGTTGAAGTGTCAGCGCCACTGTTGGAGATGTTTTAGCATACGCACATTCTAAATCGTGACTAATGACGTTGTTGTCTAAAGGGAACCAGAAAAGCCTTGCTTGAGTCCTCAACCCTAATTCTTGCCTATGTTACAAGTCAGATTCCGTAAACAACACACTGGTAAATGTTTGAAAGTGTGATCTGGGTTTTCAGTAAACGAGGTGCTAATTACAAGGCCAAGTTTACTAATATGACTAAGCTTAGCTCAAAATACAAGACTGTGCAAAGCTAATAGCCACACATGCCGACGTGATGAAGGTGTTGACTCGTAAACAATGGCCAGGCTTGCTAACTGGTAAATAGTATCTGGAACACTTTTTCACAAAGGTGTGCTTCACACAGAAAATAGCCCGTGCAAATACACAAATTACGACCTCAACATCGTTTGTCCCAGTTGTCACATAGCCTCTTTGTCTATGACTGATTTTTTAAGGTCAAGATAATGGTGTCAAGTTAATGTTTCATACAGTTGTCTTTGAAAAATTCGGTTAAAAATTTATCAGTAAAAAATGAATGATATCATCACCTTAAAATAAGGAACCTGGTATTTGTGATCGAAACTGATTTGGCTGTTCATATTTTTGGACACTCACTCTATAACACGGGACAGACGCTCATCTTCATTTTCTATCTCCACTGTCTTCACCCAATGCTCATGGAGATTTTCTCCCAGAAGGCAGCTTGGAAGTGTTCGGAAGTAGTCCTAAAATTAAAATAAATTCATTAAAATCACATATATCCTTCATAAATATTATAAAAGTATGAACAATATACAATCATTTTTTAACATGTAATGATCATTTACAGAACACGCAACGTCAAATGAGCGTTTGAAACATATTTACCAGAAATAATATAGGACCGCCCTGATTCATATTGCTAGTTGTGTGGAAAATCTTACCTTGACAAGTGAACCTATCAGATAGCGGGAGTACTGGTCAAGGCTGACCTCCTCCTCATTGTCCAACTTCTGACGCAATTCACGAATCTGGCGTGCATTTGCAGACTTCCGTAAAATGCCACCTGTGAATGGGCCCTCTCGGAACAAAATTGTCAAAAGTTCCTGAAAGCAAAATATTTGTAAGGTCAAATGCATGTTTAAGATAAATTTAAACTGTTGATTGTAACCTCCCCATAGAGATAACAACAAAATTTGAGTGCACACTGATAAAAATAACGTATCGCCTAGAGTATTCACCGAGTGGAAGGTACGGTGCATTATAAATGGATATATTATCATTACTATTAGTGTAACAGAATCTCAAGTACATTTGTGTCTGATAGTGAGAGGGTGAGTACAGTTTTATGCCTCTATATTCCAGCTATCTCACAGCAGGGGAACACCTTCACACATTATACCAATGTGGAGAATCAAACCTGGATCTAACCAACACTTTAACCACTAGGCTAACTAACTGCTCCATAATAAACAAACACTTCCATGTTATTGATGCAATGACAAAATTTCATTGACAATGTTGGTTTTTTCACCGGCTTACCATGATCGGTTTGGGTGGCTGGAAGTGTTCGTCACAAACTTCCTCCAAGGGACGTTCGAACAACTTCCCAGGTTTGCTACAGCCCGGTGCTTGTGACTTCTCATCCTTGTTCTTCTTGAACAACGCCAACAACGGCGACTTCTTGGCTTTCTTCAGTGACTTCTGAGATGTGTCCTCTATAATAGAGAAGTATCATGGTTAGAAACTGTTAAAGACTGTCATATATTACTGAGAATTATTGTTTTGTTTGTTATTTAACGCCACTCTCATCAATATTCCAGCTGTATGACGGCGGCCTGTAAATAACTGAATCTTGTCCTTGCAGTTGTCTGGGTACAATGACAAACAATCAACCACATCAGCGAGTCTGACTACCCGATCCATCCGATCGACCAGCATAGGTTGCTGAGGACCTCCACAGGGCAATATTACTGTAAAAAACGTTGTCATGGCGACCAAATATACATGGTTCTAGAGTACAGAAAACTATTACACCACGGTGCCGAAAAGGAATCTCTTGGGATCATAAAGTAAAATAAGCCCACATTCTATTATTTTTATATCAAGAGCACTTTATTTCACTGCAAGATTTGTTCAAAAGTGTTTGTTTTTGAAAATGTGAATATAATTTACTCTTTGCGAATGCAACTGAAATTGCTAAATTAATAGATAAGATATCCATTGAATATATCACTGGATCTTCTTAAAAATGATTGATTTAACCAGATTCTAAATGACAAGTCTTGACAAGACCAAATTTGTAAAGTTTATTTCAAGATGTTAGCGTAATGTTTGTTTTCAAAATTTCCATCAATTGTATTGGTTGCCACAAGGAAATACAAATCTTTTGAAATCTTTCCAAAATATTTTCGGACATAACTTAGACCAGAAATTGAGAGTGGTATGGGCAAACTTCATGAAGACAATTGCAGACATGGCTGGAGGGAACAATGGAGTGTACATAAAACGACAAATCATCGGCAGCAAATTAAAAACATTCAACAGCACGTTATCCTTTGTGGGTCACAGCATTTTGATCAGAGGTCATTGCCAGTCGTTAGACAGCAAGAAGTGAAATGAACTTCAAACATTGTGGTCAGCCAGATTAAACATGTCAGCCATCAAGTGGACAACTGGACAAACAGCAAGCCAAGGTCATCGTCTTTCTTACCCATGATCGTTAGCTAGTCTTGAGGAGGGGACTGGGGCCGCCCGCCAATTAAAACACTGTTCTAATTGTGGTTTGATTGTCTGACTATTTTAGTCATCACGCAAATAACTGCCCAAGCTGGCCTGATTTTGTGGTAAACATTTAATCTATTTTAGAATCGGTGACTTTAAATTGATAGAATTGACTACACAAAGTCACATTTCATTTTGTCCATATACATCTTTCCAAGTATTGTTTTACAGCCCTTTAAGTAGAAATGTGACACACCTGACCCTGTAGTAAATAACTGGTCTCTTATTTATTTGATTTTTCAAATTATTTTGTGGTAAATAATACATTAGAGCTTTTATTCTTCAAATTTAAAAAAAAATCTGATACTTTCAAATAGATGGCTGTGAGAAATTCAATTGATTTGTCGCAAAAAATGTGACACACCTGACCCTGTAGTAAATAACTGGTCTCTTATTTATTTGAGTTTTCAAATTATTTTGTGGTAAATAATACATTAGAGCTTTTATTCTTCAAATTTAAAAAAAAATCTGATACTTTCAAATAGATTGCTGTGAGAAATTCAATTGATTTGTCGCAAAAAATGTGACACACCTGACCCTGTAGTAAATAACTGGTCTCTTATTTATTTGATTTTTCAAATTATTTTGTGGTAAATAATACATTAGAGCTTTTATTCTTCAAATTTAAAAAAAAATCTGATACTTTCAAATAGATGGCTGTGAGAAATTCAATTGATTTGTCGCAAAAAATGTGACACACCTGGCCCTGTAGTAAATAACTGGTCTCTTATTTATTTGATTTTTCAAATTATTTTGTGGTAAATAATACATTAGAGCTTTTATTCTTCAAATTTAAAAAAAAATCTGATACTTTCAAATAGATGGCTGTGAGAAATTCAATTGATTTGTCGCAAAAAATGTGACACACCTGACCCTGTAGTAAATAACTGGTCTCTTATTTATTTGATTTTTCAAATTATTTTGTGGTAAATAATACATTAGAGCTTTTATTCTTCAAATTTAAAAAAAAATCTGATACTTTCAAATAGATGGCTGTGAGAAATTCAATTGATTTGTCGCAAAAAATGTGACACACCTGGCCCTGTAGTAAATAACTGGTCTCTTATTTATTTGATTTTTCAAATTATTTTGTGGTAAATAATACATTAGAGCTTTTATTCTTCAAATTTAAAAAAAAATCTGATACTTTCAAATAGATGGCTGTGAGAAATTCAATTGATTTGTCGCAAAAAATGTGACACACCTGACCCTGTAGTAAATAACTGGTCTCTTATTTATTTGAATTTTCAAATTATTTTGTGGTAAATAATACATTAGAGCTTTTATTCTTCAAATTTAAAAAAAAATCTGATACTTTCAAATAGATGGCTGTGAGAAATTCAATTGATTTGTCGCAAAAGGACATGAAATGTCATAGAGTTGAACAAAACCAACTACAAAAAGCTACAGGTTCTCATCAAATGCGTTTAATTTGCCGAACGAAAAATTAATATTTTAACTGAACATGAATCTCAAACAGCGCAGTGATTATTTCAATATGTTGATCATCTCAAGTATCACGGAAGTGCTCAAGTGTCCCAGGGTGCATCTGATGGACAAACATTTGGCCAATTGACACTCCAGCCTGTCAAACTTAGCCCCTATCCCCGGCCTGATGCCTGGACGTGATAGTCTCTTTGTAGACGTATCCTGCGCGTCATTCTCAAACACAGCCTGTGCAATGGCCATATATGTGTCAACACAGACAACTGATTCCACGATGCTAATACCCTAATTATTTGTTGGTTTGCGGTGTTAATTAGGATATACTCGTTGGTGTTTCAACAAACTATTTGCGGACGTTTCTTTTCGGAACATGCTGTTGAAATGTGTGGTGTCATCAATTTAGTTGTTTCCGTAGGAGAGGAACCACTGATACTTCAACATTATTTACTGAACAGGAAAGTTGTCACCACGACAATAGAGATTTCAAATCACATTGACAAAAACAACCACATCATGATTCATTGAAAAGAAAAACTAGCAATGTACTACGAAATTTGAGACTGTTTTGGTCTATGTGAGGTTTCAAATCACAACATCGTCATAATTCAACGAAAAGAAAAGCTGCATTCTACCAGGACTTCTAAAAAGGTGGTTTCAAATCACAATCAAAGGTTTCAAATTAGAATTATAAGCAACCACATGATTCACTGAACAAAAAGGGTGCTTTAACCATATTTGAGATACCTCTGACCAATCAGAGGTTTCAAATCACAAGCCACTGAATTAATAAAACCACATGATTCAACAAAAGTAAAGTCACACAGACAGTGCTATTTGCAGACTTTACCAGGAACCCACATGATTAGAAGGGTGGGGAGGAATAAGATGCTAGCACCATTACACTTACCAAGACTGTGTTTCTTCGGGGACTTCTTGTGTTTGAGAATAAACTCGACTTTGGAGTTGGACGACTCTTCCATGATGGAATCCATGTTGGACAGAACGTCGCTGTCTACATCCCCCTTGGGCTTCAGCAGGTCGCGCACGTGGCTCAACTTGATGGCGTAGGGGTACTCATGACCTAAACACAGGGAAATGTATTAGACTGGAATATTTCATCTAATTACTGGTCCAATATAAGGAATGTGTTACTGCCTGGAGATCTCATCCAATCCATCTTAGCACAGGCCTAAACCTAAATAACGTTAGGTCTGTGATCTTAGTCCCCTCCTACAAGTATGGGTTACATTGGTGACTAATTGTAACCAGTGAGTGAGTTTAGTTTTACGCCGCTTTTAGCAATACATGTATTCCAGCAATATCATGGCGGGGGACACCAGAAATGGGCTTCACACATTGTACCCATGTCGAGAATCGAACCCGGGTCTTTGGCGTGATGAGCGAACGCTTTAACCACCAGGCTACCCAACTGCCCCCTAAATATAACCATTATATCTGGGATTGAGTATACATGTTAATACTCGTTGAGCTTCATAAAGAAATAGAATAACATAACTCTGAGAAAAAGATCTTTAAGTAAAATGATTTTGTGACCATCTGAATGACAAGAAGCACGAGGCCTTTAATATGACTATAGGTTCTGACAGACAATTATCCCACTGTTTTGACAATGTGTGTAGGTACCACTACCATCATGGGAAACTAACAGCACATCACACCTACATAATTAAAAGCAAGTGACATAACTGCTGATAATTCAGAATTACATATCAAATATGACAACCCAATTAGCTATGACTCACGTTCAACAGGCGGTATGTCCGATAACGGGGTCACTTCCATCACATAATGAAATCGACAACACAGACAAAACATGGCCAAACTCGACACAAAGCGAAAATAAGATTAAAATGTCTCCGATGGGATCTGGAGTACCACATATCTCATCGGTTCAGGACATTGCGCCTTTCCACCAACGTCACAATTCCACACAGATAAGACAGCTGGCGACCGGATTTTCTATCCCACAGTCTTCACTTATTTCATTCATAATTCCTTGAGATCCACAGCAATAATAAGCATAATCAACTAAAGAAAAACAGTTTGTCTGAAGTCGTCACAGGTCTTGGATGAGTTACAAATCAAACGTCAGCATCATCAAGTTGCATAGTCCTTTGTATTCTCATGCAGTTGCTGACAGGTAAGGTTTCATAATCCGTCCAGGTAAGATACTGTACAGGTAAGTCATACAGGTAAGATACTGTCCAGGTAAATAGAATCTCCTATGGTAATAATTTGAACTGTGTCCATTTGAGTTTGATAGACAATGCTAGTGACAGGTAGTGACACCAAGCTGATCTACAAGTGAGCTTGATTACAGGTGATAAAATCCCATCTAGGTGACCTCACCTGTCCAGGTGATGCAAATCTCACTTGCATGATAGTGATAAAAGTTCTGATTGGTAATTGGTGCATGCATCAGGTGATCTGGTCTCAACTAAGCCTTAGTTTGAAATTATTTACAGTTTACAGAACAGGTGACAGAACAATCATACTGCTCTCATAACTACATCATCTTTGATGTTCAAAACAGTCATCATATCTCACCTAAATATAATTAAAAAATATTGCCATATTTTACCTGTCGATTAGATGAGATTTTCGATAGATACAAAATAATTTGTTTATTTTCCTATGAAAGTGTCAGTGCCACAAGTTACCATAGCAACTGACCTAAAAAGTACAACAGATTAGCCTATATTTCACAACAAAATGTAATACATTTTTTGCATTACGATAAATACTAAACACAATCAAAATTTAGCCTATAATGCATTGGAACACACCTGGGACATGTCAATTTTTAAAATTTTTAGATGGAAATATAGCCTGCTACCAGTCTAACATGAATGTAGAAATTATGCACACCCTAGTTAAGTCAGGACAGTCTTTCTTGGGCTACAAGTGGCTTTGTGATGATCACGTACTGTTCTACAGTATACTACCTTTTGTCAAAGTGAACACCAGGTGTCAGTCCTCAAACTAAGTTATTCACGTAGCTGTGATTCCAAACTGAATTATCTTAATAAACCAGATTCCACTTTGTTTACAAACTGACCAGTTCACCTTCAGGACAATGACCAGCAATAACTGACCACTGTGATGTCATTCCATTGTCTGCTAGGACGTAACATCATAATACCTCAGCTTCCCAAGACCACATTCACCTCACTACCAAAACAAAGCGATTAATACCTATGTTCTTGAAAAGTGACAAATCTCTTGAACAAAGCTGCATAATTCAACCCCAGGTGCTGGAGGATTAGCTTAAGAGGATGATTAAGACAGATTAAGCCACTGGCAGTAAAATAACGCTGTTCAGATGCAAATGATTCAGATATTAGTTGGCATAAATCTCACTAAGTATCAAATATTGTTTCAGGTGTTTGAAACAGAAGTCCATTCAGACAATATATTGAAATACTTGTTTTAAGTGAACTCTAAAAATTAAATATATACACAATTTCTTTAAAATGATATTAATACAAAAGAAACTTACTATCTAGAAACAAAACAAACCTAAGCGTCCCCATGATGTCGATAAACTAATACAAAAATGCCAAAAACCAGACTATTCGAGTATTCACTTAATGAATATATATTAAATGTATATATATCAGATACTGCACAATAATCTCAGTAAAACTTTAATGTAGAAAAAAAGAAATAAAGTGATAAAAAAAACCCATCTATAATCTAATGAGTGCCACTCATCGAAATGCTACACTTTAACAGGGATGAATACATAGTTTGAAAAAATATTATCGATAATAGAATGACAGAGGAGTTGATGCCCCTTTTAACAACATTCCATGAACATCACAGGGGGGGAACCAGAAATGTTCTTCCCACATTGTACCCATGTGGGGATTGAACCCGGGTCTTCAGCATGATTAATGAATGCTATAACCACTAGGCTACCCCACCACCCCTTACAGAATAATTACTTTAAAATATCATACTAATTGATATAATTTTAGGTTGATCTAAATTAAAATATAACAAAGTAAGTGTTTAATGTCCGACATAAGTCTCCCTTTACATTGAAGAGCAAACAGGTCTATCGACACGGTTCACCATAGCCTTCGACTGCATACAAAAGCCGTCTCTATTGCCAACAGACACCTAACACAACTCTCAATATACCCACATCTCGGAAGTGATTTATGTAAATAATACACAGTTGTAAGTATTATTGTGAGTGGGTTTAAAAATACATCTTATTATCACTCGATGTTTATACTCTTATCACCGCAACGATAAAAGGCTGGACTTTGGACGAACTATCACTTGGCAGCATTATCTATACCCATCAATGCAACTACAATCAATGATTTGCAGCTGATATATATTTGAGGCTATTTAACTTGTCCTTAAAAAACTCAAAAACCACTATTGTTAAAATATGCTTTAACATAAATGAAACTGCTATTGGAACACTAAAGAAACATCGGTTCAGCTACTTATACCACTGTCCATAAAAATATTTCATACTCCATAAAATGTATTTCAATGACCCTATTACAGAAATAGAAAATTTAGTTATTAAAAAAAAAGAGAGGCATATTTGCAAAATCTTTTCATACTACTTATGGATGAAAATATCGCTGTTCCTATAAACACTAAATGAATTTCCAATACTAATATACATATTATTCCAAAAGGGGGATTTGAAAGATTTGAGGACTTACGTTTTGGTAGCATTTCCTGGGAGAAATTCTGATCACAATCACATCCAGCTTCATGTATTAAGGTAGTTGGCAGTATTGAAAGCATTGCGGTGAAGTCATGCAAACAAATTCCAGTTTAAAAGCAAGTGGTCAACTTTGTTGACCTGTTTCAAGGTCCTTCACCGCCCAATTGCCTTCCGTGTTTAGTCCGATTCCAACAAGGAACAACATGACGACCATGCTCCGTGATTTGAGCGCAAGTGGGTCCCCTGAGTCAACATGCTGTTTTACCTATGCCAAACACTGGACCATGACTTGTCAGATAAGGTTCTGTACCCCCCAATAGCTTGCCGGACTGCTCTTCCATATATGTTTTAGGGAACATATCCTAAAAGGCTAATTTTCCCCATAATGGTGCTCCTTCTGTGTTGTGTCGGTGGAGTGTAGCGAACACAACATGTCTGACGTAGAATGCATGACCATGACGGTTCAACAAACTAGGCGGTACGTTCACCGAGATTGCAAAACCATTATTATGGGTGGGGTCACACTTCAAAAGATGCACTGGGTACGTCTGTCTTTAAAGAGGTTTTGATTGAAAAGGACATTTATGAAATAACTGTCACACCTATGTCGTCTATACAAAGGCAAAGCAATATTTGAAGTCTACTTTTGTGGTTTTGAAAAGTTTAAATAAAATCGGATTGATTATGAATGGTTGTAAGTTAAGCAGTATTTGGCATTTAAGGACTGTATGACCTTTAGTGTGTAGAGGAGTGATAGGATTTCATAACATGATTTGTGTTTTCTATGGCTCTTTGAATATGCTTTCAAATCACAACAGCAACACTTGAACACTCTCATGGATGACACACTTCCATGTGTTAACATATCTTATCTATACAAAGCAAGCAGAATGCCATGCTCACCAAGTAACATACAAAAACTACTTCAAAGTATATCTCGACCATCTTGGTGCATGTCAGTTACATAGCTTTTGATTTATGACTGAAAGTGTACCCTCACATAAAACAGCGGTGTATTGACATTTCATTCTTCAAGGATTGAACCTGTCAAAGAAAATGACTGAACCTGCCAAAGTGACAGTGAGTGAATGAGTGAGTATGGTTTTACGCCGCTTTTTGAATATTCTAGCAATATCACGGCAGGGGACACCAGAAATGGGCTTCATACATTGTACCCATGTCTGGAATCGAACTCGGGTCTTCAGCATGACAAGCGTACGCTTTAACCACTAGGCTACCAAAAATAACAGGATCAAACTGTCTAAGAAAATGATTGAACCTGTTTAAGGAAACAACTGAACCTTATTACAAGAACGGACTCTGTCACACAAGGACTGAACCTGTAAAATTAGAATGTTGTCCTTTATGCAAGACTCATTGTATGAACCACACCGACTGAACCATGCCGATACCAGGATTTAAACTAGCAAAATGGACTGAACTAAAAATGGGAACACAAAAAGGACAGGAACCCACACACAAAAATATTTTTAAGGACTGAACCATACAATAAATAAAAGTCTGAACCTATCATCCATGTTCCTGCTAAAGCACATCCTGTATACCTCAAGGCCAGCAACTGCAGGTCTATCTCCTCCCTATTGTCACAGGGTACTACCTGACCTGATACATGTACACAAGCCTCTATCTCTACTATAGTATTTCACGAGACACGGTTGGTGCATACATCTATTCAGAGCTTTATCAGCGAGCTTTCATGTATGATACATCTGTCAAGTTCTTACATACACTGACTATTATTACCAGCCAAGGTGATGTCAGTGACATACTACGTGCACTAAGGACAAACCCATAATAACATTTTTTAACTACTTTAGTTTTTATAGGGTCACTGTAACTATATTAGAAAAAATTGCTAAATAAAACTTTATATTTTAAACAATTTCATACGGTACATATAACATGAATTACTTATATATAAGAACCCTTTTGAAAATTTAAAAAAAATTCTACTTTTCAGAAATAAAATTTTCAAAATGTTATTTTATTACATATAAACTTATTGACTAAATTCAGTATCATAAACATGATCACCCTAAACAAACAACAGAAAACGACCAAATCGGGGACAATGGGGACAAAAGAACACCTGCTGGTTTAACCTGTATTCATACCCACAGAATAGAGGTATTGTCAAAAAACATGGCTGGGATAGAACAGTGGTTCCTATTGACTGACAGGCCAAGCTGACAGATTTACGTGGGGTGGGGCATCTGGGGGGTACGGTCTGAAGGGTGGTGCCACCAGGCACATGGGTCATGTGTGACTGATTTACGAGGCAGAAAACAATATCAATTGTTTAACCATAGCCTCATCATAACACCGACCATTTGCCAAATACTAAACATAAATTCTAACATACAGTTACCTAGATTCACGTCTTATCAATGTTAATACTTACCTATCGACATTATGAGACTCGTGTATTAAAATTCATTTTTTCATTACGCATTAAAAAGTAAAATTGACTTACCTATAAGAGGATAAATCGTTTCTTTTCCTGTCAACACCCACAACTGGTAATCCTTCTGTTCACTCTCCTGTAATGAAGATTAGACGTATACAGACATGGCACATAGCAAAGATATAAGTTAAACTATAGTGTAAATCTGAAATACATATCTACATCCACTCACCCATATATGTACATACACCAACCTCCCTCTTGAACAAGCTTTGTCAGTCTATTTATAGATTCATAGCTCCTCTTTCACATCAAGATAACAACATTACTCATAAAATTTCGATCCCGCATACATCCTGTCACTAACGTTCGATCTGATAACATCAAGGAATGTTTTTTATCGGTTGTTTTCTTTCAATTTGTGAAACATTTTCTTATCCCAAAGAAGGGTTGTTAGTTTTATACATCAACACTTTCCTATACAGAGAGTTGTTAATAGCTGTATTACTGTATTCAATCGTTATGAATCATAAGTACAAACATAGTAGCTGGCACATATTAATTCAATGTCATGTTTAAGAAAAATCCCATCTTTCATAAACCAAACTTATCATCAGCATTGTCAACTCTGGACTGTGCATGTGTTTTGTGTTTTATTCTATACAAATGACAAGATATTTAGTTGCATACATCACTGAAACATGTCTAACTTCTTTGAGAATAAATCCATAAATCTTATCCTTACTCACTGAAACATGGTAAACCATTTATCACAATCATAAAAAATCACTGGTCTTAATAAACGACTGTTTTCAATGATCTGCGGTCAAAACATTTCACTATAAAAGAAACAACTAAGGACATTGTATGACATCAGCAGCTTTACAAATATAATTCTGTCCAGATTCACATATTTGGGGAAATAAATATGTCTAAAAGATAAAATGATTAATATTTTGTTAGACCGTATACAAATAGGTATTCATACCACTAGTCACTGAACATAAAAGGATTGAACTATACCTTCAGTTTGTGCAAAAAGCTGAGACTTTTTGACAATAATTTGGGCCTCATACACGGCATGGCTAACATCTACCGCAGTTAGACACTACAGCATCCGTGAACACAGTGTCACACCGACAGCCAACTCCATCGACACAATCCCACAGTATAGAAATCCAATATGAATGGTCAAAAAACGCAAATAACGATCCGAGCGATGATGCTTGTTCAATTCTTTCTCATCTCATATAAAACAAATGTCATCCCAAATCGGCTGCATGGGGACCAAATGCCAGTTATGTCAACAGACTAATCCAAAAATGTCTCTGATAAACACAGTGGTCTCCCTTTACGGCAGCAGATCAACAGGTAATGTTGTCCGTGCGCTGTTGGTCAGCAGTGATTTGAGGGTGCGGATCTCGTGGGGGTTATTTTCAGACTCTGGGCACACACTCAAGACCAAGGCAGATCTACCAATGGACACAGTCAATCTCAACAGTCATGAAGTTAATCCCCGATTTACGACAGAGATTAGCCCCCCTTCCCCCCCAGGTTTAACGAAGGCTTGCCAATTAGTGGGAAATTAACTGTACAGGATAATTGATGTTTTCCAGGCTAACAGTGGCTTGTTCTTCTAGGGTCTATCTAATTGTTCACTTCCTATTGTTGTAACAACAGAGGGCAGCCATTGGGGGAGGCCATTGTTCTATAAACTGCTACTGTCTGCCCTAAAACAATCCAGACTGGGACAACAATGGAGTAATTCTATCAATTAAAACATATCCTCTGATTGTTTGCAGGCTTGTCTGCCCTTAATGACAGTTAAATGTAACATAGTAGGGATTATATTGTTGCAGAGGTGAGATCTGGAAAAATATTAGTGATCTTAATATTGAAATAAAATTTGAGGACTTTTATGTTTTAATGACTACTTTTTGTGAGTTTTCTTCAGCACTGTTTACATCTTCTGTTTTTTTGTGATATTTACTTTTTGACAGATTATGTGATTTACATTGTTTTCTCCATTTTAATTAAAATAATTATAGTAAAATATAAATATGTAATATTATTTTTGTTTAAATAATATATATTTTCCATGCAGGGAACTGGATTAATAAACAGATAACTAAATTGCTTCACAGAATCGAGAAATACATATTTGAGGGAATATACAAATATGATTTGGTTGATAGTATATACAGTGACACGTCTTCAATAAGCAGTTTTTTAAAACAGATTTTAGGCTGCAGTATTAATAGAAAAACCCCATGATCAGAATACTGATATAATTGTGATATAAATGAGCAAATAGATTTGATCATTATTTCAGTCAATTCTCTATTTGTAGAAGCATAGATTAACTATAACAAAAAGTCATCTCATAAAAAACCCTCTAAATATTGAGTTATAGTAAAGGCGCTTAATTCATTATCTATTAGATACTATCACAATACCTCAGCCATAACAAATAAATCATTTTAAAATTTCATATTCATAATTTCCATAACATGCATTAATATGGTTAAATCAGATATATTTTTAGGCTGTGTTAACAGATGAATGTAGAAACATGGTTCTTGTGTATATTTATTGAATTATATGATAAAGTTCCACATTTGCAAATGTATAACCGCTGTATTCTGTACAAATGAAACTGAAAAAGGAAGTAACACAATGTGTGAGTGAGTATGGTTTTACGCCGCATTTAGGAATATTCCAGCAATAGGCTTCACACATTGTACCCATGTTGGGAATCGAATCCGGGTCTTCGGCATGACGAGCGAACGCTTTAACCACTAGGCTACCCGACCACCCCAGTAACACAATGAAGCGTTCCTACTAGCTTTGATTACAGGTATGGCTATTGTTGATTACAGGTAACACGTGCACTGATTACAACTTACCTGTATGAGTAGCTGTGCCATGCACATCCGCAGCACGTCTTTGGCTTCACAGGTGTTATTGACTGTCACAGAGCATTTCTACAAACAAAATAAAAACATTAATTAAATTTAATGTTAAAAATATTTAATTTTAATTATCATTCCTTGTTCACACCAACACAGATCCTTCAATTCTATAACTTATACAACACATACAAATAATCTTCCTGAATAAAAATATGTTAAACCCCACATACAAACACTACACTTCAAATATACGTCACTAGAGACACGTTATGGACCATATTGTTTACAAAAAAAGCTTATATATAACTTATGTACAGAAATAATTTTAACCAAAGTAATTGAATCTTTTAGACAACTTTAAAATATGGGTTTCTGACCAACCTCTAAGAAGCTTCACCAAACTATGATGACTGCGGAACATTAGCCAACTTTTTAACCTTACTGAACGAAAATATTGTGAAACTATTTTATTTCTATTAATTACTGTGATGCCAAATTTCTGTTCAAACTTCTAGAAATAACAGCTCCAACTTCCAGCTGTACTTTGTAAACAATCAATTCTTCATTGAAACACATATGTCAAGCAACCAAAATAAAGAGTCGCTATGTCAGATTTCTGATAACTGCAATTCAAACTACATAATCAACCAATGGCAAGACAGTCCCATAAACAAACCATCTATGCACTAAATGCCAAACAAATTCAATCAACAATCAAACGGTATTTGTTTAATATTTTCAAACCCTCGTGCCAGTAAAACTGCCTTGGAAATTGATGTCAAAGGAAATCAATTGAACACATCTTCAAATGTGTCAAATAATTCAATGATATTTGCTTAATATTTTCCCAGACCATGCCACTAAGTGAGTTTAACTGTTTGTGTACTTAAGGGTTAATAGTCATTTAGCAGCATCAGACACAGCAAGAAAGGTGTTGCCTTAATTGACACCAACAGGGTGTAGTGCAAACATCTATTGTCTTGCTGTTATACACCGGTATAGTAGATAGTATACTTGTCACCTTCTACTCAGGAGAAGCTTGAACACTTGAACCGACAACTGTTTGTTTGCTCGCCTGATATTGGTATGTGATTTCAATTTAATTAACTTCAAGGCAGGGTACATTTTCCTGATTGCTTGAAATTTTAATGTTCTTAAAACCAAAGAAATGTTTTTAGGTTGGTATTCATTTTTTTCAGCTGACATGTTTTCTTGGGACAATGGACTGTTTTATTGTTTTATTACATTTTATTATGACATTCATTGGTAGTGTACTTACTTGAATGACACTCTTATTTCAGAACAAAGGGTAATTTTGGCCATGTGTTTTTGATTTAGGATGACATACTGATTGGTCATAAACACAGTTCCTCTTGTTTTATTACTTGTTCTGATTTTATCACCTGTTCTCAATTATGACATGCTTGTATATTGCAGAGTTTACTGCAGTGGTTTATTGAAACCATCTGTTTGAGTTAAATCTGGTAAACAAATATTCAGAGGATTTTTTAACCAAGAAAATGTTTAGAGAAAGAGGAAGATTTTACATTAATATCAACATTTTTGTTAGGGCATTTTAGTTAGAAAGAGTAGTTCAGACATGGTCTGTATTTGCAATCACAGGACATATTAAGACAATGATTCATAAACATAGAAATAAATATTTCATAATTGTCCGGATGGAGTAAATATGTTTCTGTTTTAAGAGATTTCCGTCTCTCAACAAATAGGCTGAACATGAGGGTTTAAACCAACATGTCCGCCACCATCAGTCGAGGAAGCTTACTGGTCATCGCAGATGAGTGGACTCCGAGAGGATATGGCCTCATTCAGACACAGTCCAGACCATCAAACCTCTATTTAAATGTTGCCTTGTTGTAATTTCATGTTTACTATTAACTCGGCTCCGTGCCAAGCCAAGTCCTTACATATGTTCCCATTAGTGGAAAGGCGGTTTTCTTAAACAGATCAATTGTGTTCAGACAATAACGTGTGTTTGCACCCTTCACATGCCACCTTGTTGAAACAATTTCATTAAAAAACCTTCATAATTAGTTTATTTTCACGCTAATTGTGTTGAATCTGCAAACTGTGGTACAGTTTGTGAGTTTAATGAGACGTTTCTGCCTTGGTGGCGGTGTTGGAAAAGTACAGCATTGCACCAACCTGATCAATATGCCTATTTACAACTTTGAGCTGGGTTGTGCGAGACTCCTCTTTCAGCTTCTCTTCCTGAATTTGTCTGGAACAGAGTAAAAGACAATACAGACCCAGGAAGCTCATGTTGAGAAGGACTCAGGTTCTTATACAGACCTGTCTTTAAGGCCATTCTACAACATCAGCCCAGCCATGGCAAGATTATCACATTCTTGTTAAACTAAAACATTTGTATTTTCGAGCACATGATCATAACAAAAATTCTTACACATTTCCTTCAGAAACAAATATGTACATATGCATGCATATTTAACTAAGAAATGTGATTTGACATCCTGTATGAACATAGGAATCAAACGCTAGGTTATCCTTCTAATAACCTTTCAGTGGACTTGGTGCAGAATGTTGGAAGTGAATGTAATCAGAATCTTATCGGCCGGAAAATCTTATTGCAGTGGCCAGTGCATTGTGGGTAACACGACTGGTGACAATCTCCTGTTTGGCTTCAGGTCAATGCACAAGGTCATCCCGCAAGTGCAAAACACTGCATCAGCTTGGCCATTTTGGCAGACAGGTATTGCATAGTCAAGCAACATCAAACAATGGAGAAATCCCCAGAAACAGTTTCAAAATATCAAAGAAATCTAGATTACCTTTTTCATATCCTATATAATACATGAATTACCACTTACAAATTCTAAAATTTTGAAAAATTTAGAACTTCTTCAGTGTGTTTGGAAATTTTCCATTGAAATATTTGTATAAGCATGACTCATGTAAAATATACGTTAATTCATTTCTGATGTTTGGAAGGTAACATGTTTGAATAAATTCTACCCCAAACCCTAATTTAAACAATCAGCTCTACCACTCAGTACAGCAGGATTGAGAAAGTTCTCCATCATATGAATACTGCATTAGTCAGTCGCCCAGCAGGTGAAATGTGATGTCTCATTCAACAATACAACTGCACTGTCCCTCTCAACAATACAATGATGCCCCTTTCAACAATACAATACAATGATGCCCCTTTCAACAATACAATACAATGATGCCCCTTTCAACAATACAATACAATGATGCCCCTTTCAACAATACAATACAATGATGCCCCTTTCAATAATACAATGATGCCCCTTTCAACAATACAATGATGCCCCTTTCAAGAGTGCCTTTAAGAGCCAGACACTCACAACCAACATCCCCAAATAAAACCACCACCACCACCACCACTGAAGCGATGCCCTCACAAACATCACAATAAGGACCACCATTTGACAACTCTAAACTTACGCAGTTAATTTCGTCAGCCATTTGTCTTTAGTTTCAGCATCTTTGAAAGTAGCCACAGTGTTGGTTGTTGGCCACCCGATGACAAAGGATCTGTCCTGTGGCCGCGTGAGTTCACTCACTTCCTCGATACAGTTCGAGATCCACACATCACACAACTGTATTCGATGCTTCAACTTGAACGTTGTATTGGATCTGAAACAAAACACAAACCATTATAGTTCATACATAGACTCAAATGCCATCTCAAGGATTACCTTTACAAGACACATACAACAAAAAACAAACGGAGTATTCTGCAAGATATGAAGGTGACCAAAGTATTTGTCACAAGCATGAAATACTAGTACTCATATCCGCCACCAATACCATTTCCAGTCAAAAGTCATTGCCATGGAAACTTTAAAAATAAATTTGTCAAAAATCCCAAACTTTCAAAAGGCCCTAGTTCACCACAAGACCTATGTATGTACCAAGTTTGGTTGAGATAACTCTCATGATTTTTGAGTTCTTATCCGGAAACGAAACATGATGGATGGATGGAAAGCACCAATTCCTATACTCCCTTTCCACTTCATAGCGGGGGATAATAACTATTGTTACCTCTAAACTCTCAAAAATGTGTTTAAAAGGCCATTTTCAAAAATGAGTCTGCTAGCCAAGAATATTGCTACCATACATCAAACAGTGTGGCAGAGACTTGGACAACTGTTGATGGCTCTGAATCACCTTGTCAACATTATGATGGGAAGGAAGTGTTATCAATCTCCATACAAATAGGAACCAATGATAGCAACAAATCAACAAAATTTGACGCTCATAAAAACAGGAAACACAACAATCGAAGAATTTTTTGAAGGCCATGGAAAGTTTGCATCATGTTAGCATAGGGAAATAATTATGCAGACATTGTTCAAAACCAACTCTGATATGAGTGACATATTTGGAAAGCTTGGAGCGAGGAATGTAGAAGCCATGGAAAGGGATCCGCAGCCCAATACCATGAAGCTCCTGCGCAAATACACGCTATCCTCCCTCAAATGAATGTGTTTGTTACACGATTATAATCAGATGAAAGGTGTACTCACTTCTGCTTAGCGATGAGCAGCAGATCACTGAAGAGGAAAAGGTAGCGATCCTGCGTCTGCATGCCCTGAAATCATAAGCAAACGTAACATAGTAGACTTTTGTACAGGGATATTAATGCCCTGAAATTATAAGCTGACATAAAATGGCAGATTTTCGAACATGGATATTTAAAAATGTGGGATTAGGATTGTCAAGCTGGATTATTGCTGTGAATGATGGGCGTTATAAAGAATATATATCTGAAAAATTCATTTGCTGGCATGGCTTAGTTAAATGAAGCTCCAGAAAGAACAGGTCTTGGATTGCAAAATATTCCATTGTGGTGCCTTAGACGATTCATGATTCAATCAAGAAAAATACCCTGGACACTTTCATCACCATACCTTTAGTTATATAATGAACCCCAAAAAGTTAAGTATCATGAATATTTTGGGGATATTTTTTAATTGTGACGACAGGACAAACAATTTTTTTTCAGGATATTTTAATTAGAAATCTACAATGCTAAAAATAGCCACCAAATCAGACTTACCAATGAGCGAAAGACATTTTTAGTGAACTTAATGATAAATGGGACGAAGACGGTGATGTCACTTTACGAGGCTATGGTAGCCCGTGGGTCCAGAGTATTAATCATAATAGCATCAGCATCTTATACACTGCATTTTCGAGAACGCACAAATATGGGTATCAGTAATAATCTCCAAAAAAATTCTTGTATAGGTTAATAAAAAAAAAGTAAATTTAGATTACTGTCTGTGAAACATTGATTGTCAATAGTTACTGAACATAATTCACTTCATACCATCAATCAAATGTGTTTGCTTACGTTACGTACAAAAATATTGGAATTTGATAACAAAAATATCTCGGTAATGTTATATTGGAATTTGATAAGAAAAATATCTCTGTAATGTCTTACATGCGAATCTGTGTTACCATACTAAAATCTTCAAATTAAATGTTATTCCTGTAGCACTGCACCAAAATGAACCAGCGCTGCAACTGGCAAAATTCAACCTTGCCATCTCATGTTTTCTACGACATATCCTATCACCTATTGTGTGTAATTAATGTTTTTTTTACCCCACCCCACCAAATCGACACCACATATAACAGCAACAAAACATATATGTATCAAAGCTGACGGCGAAACATCCCAAAATGCTGATTAACAAACACAGATCTTTTCACGATGTAGTTTGTTTTATCATAAAGACCACACGAATGTTGATCACATGTTCAAATACTGCCCGGCTTGTGACTCAATAACCACAGCAAAGAACCTCTATCATAAAAGAACAATTAAACAAAACCTCCACGATCCTATCAAATATTAGCTATCTGTCCTTATTTAACTTATCAACAACCCGAACGAGGCAATGTTTGGCATTGTCAGAAACACAATGAAGAATCACATATACATGGACGATTCAACATAGTTATTTCCAGGATACATCGTGAATCAAACATATATGATTAGTTGGACTATTTACATAACTTGAACTCGAAGTTCAAAATCACGAATATTTGCTTAAGCAGCCCGATATTTCATTACATTCTTTCATCCAACATGTGATTTATATCATACGAAATCTCGCCAAGTAAATATTGACCTTCGGAAATGTACCGAATATGAAGCTAATATTAACATCAAAAAGGTATCCAATGTAGAGCATTTCTTACTGACATTGTAAGTATGCAAAAATCACACAAAAACATGTTCACATGTGTACAATGTGTGAACAAACGTAAACACTGGCTAGCTGACAATTCCAAAGAAAGATATTCCTTGTAAGGGAATGTGTGGTTTTGTTTACAGTATTTATAAAGCTATGGTAATGTGGTGTAGATGTATGGTGAGTGACCATCACACAGCCACATTGTCTAAGCCAACAGACGTATTTGACCAGGGGAGTCAGACAGTGCATGAGGTGGAGAGCCAGACAGGGGAGATAACTCTGTGTCGAGTTATGTCCACCATGTGGTCAGTGTCGCCAGAGGTTCGTTACAAACACAACTGGAATAGTTTGTGACGAGATCGCTGAGGTTGTAAATGTCAGATGACGTAGAAAGTGGCTCCTTGAAGGTTACCGACTCCATGGTTTATTGTATAAATTGTACCGGGAATTGTACACAGACAACTATGTACACATGTTTACAATTATAATACAATTACTTTTTATATTAGATTTTTGGGGGCAGTCGGGTAGCCTAGTGGTTAAGACCCAGGTTCGATTCCCGACATGGGTACATTGTGTGAAGCCCATTTGTGGTGTCCCCCACCGTGATATTGCTGGAATATTGCTAAAAACGGTGTAAAACCATACTCATTCATTCATTATATTAGATTTCTTCATTTGCTTCCTTATATCTCAATATATACTGATTAAAAAAATATGGAAACATCTATAAGAAAAGAATATTAGAATTGACTTTCATATGCACACAAGTCACAAGCAGCTGGATGATCGCTAGTGCAGTGTTACACAATAATTACTCCCTCCCTCCCTCTTGTGAACACGAAGGTCACCCAGCACTGCTATTTACTTGACAACTTATTTTGTTGATGAATACTTTAGGTTGAAATATAGTAATATTCGTCACATGTCATGTTCCCTTTCTTAATTTCTTCAGTATATAAATGAAATATAGAATATATATCTTTACATTTCCCAAGGCACGAGTGTTTCACAAACCTTTTTCAAAGTATTTTGTGGGATGCTATGCATATCTTAACACTGAACCAGTGGTAGAACCAAACCTGAGTCTTCAGTGTAATCAATTACCTTATACACTTGGCCACAGGATTCAAATAGTCAAAGAAAGATTCTCATAATTTTCCCCAAATGTTATGCATTCACCATAAAATATAATAGACTTTAGTGACAATTGAACCTTGTGGTGTGGAAAACAGTTTGAGTTTTCCGTGGTTCGAGACATTAGGGGAACTTTAGGCTTAATTTGGATACTTGCGTCTCCCAAATGAGTTCGAGACAAATGGGAATTTGCCACATCCAAGTTCGACAAAATGTTCGACTGTATTTATACTTTTAAAATCTTTTGGATTTTGGCCTTCAGTAATTATGAAACTTTGATACATATACATCATAATGTCAGCAAGGGAGGCAACTCTGTTACTTACCGCTGCCAGCTGTGCAGATCCCTCCATAACGTAGAGTCGGTTCCCTTCAGACCCCGGTCGAGTCGAAACATCCCCTTCCTTTTTGACCATGTTGTGTGACCTAAAATGAAGCATTCTGACCATGAGCAGTTTTCAAATAAGAGAAAATTGTGAATTAATAAAATGTTATATTTTCAGCTCATAAATTATGATTCAGGTACTTTTTTACAAAGTCTGACAAAAAAGTTTCAAAAACATTTCAGACATAATAAAATTCAAGAAAATAATTTGCAAGTTAAATTCAATAGATGTATTCTAACATCAACAACAAACTGATATTTAGAAAAAAATATCTATTATAGTTCTTTGTAGTTTTAAGAAAGAGACAGAATGAAAAAAATCACGGGGAAGGTCCTGTTCTGTGCATTACACGTGTATCTGCCACGACTTAATACAGAGGTCGGCTGGTTTAGTCGTAAACCTCAAACAGGAATGTTTTTTTCTCCACCATTTTGTCTTCATTCGAGAAAATCCCGGTTAAATTTGTTACATGACATGATTCACCAAGGACATATTCAGAGTATAGAATCTACAGGAAACACAACAATGTGAAGGTCACGGCTATGATATCATCCTCGAAACGTGGACATAGTCCAAAATTTGTTAGAACATTCAAGCGTTCACTGAAAGCAGACCCTGCAATTCCCAAAACATCTAATCCAGCCATTCAAACAGGAATTAAATAAAACAAAAACTAAAGCAATCGTTTCTACCTGTCTTGAGTACTTTTCCTCGTCTGATTTTATTCCTGTATTGGACGAATCTCGTGTGTGTCAACTCGTGGTAGATGTTTCGGGTTTATTTGTACATAAAACTGCGTCATGTGTTTCAAAGTGATAGTTTTTCTCTGGGTTTGGGTTAATGAGAGTGTGTGTTACGTGAAGCTGTACCACACTGAGGCTGTAACACCTCGGTCACACCACGGCGTGTACACTAATCACAAACATCGTCAGTCCGCTGACTGCCTGTGAATAGGGCGGTCAACATGTTCAGGATAACAAATAACATGCAAATATTCGGCAGTACTGACGTTCTCAAGGCCAATTAAAAAATAGTCCCCCTGCCAGAACAAATCCCTGACACATACTTAATTAGTTTGCCAAATTTAAACCCATTCTTCGACAAATATACATTCTCCAATCATCTCATCAATGCATTAAAAAGGTTTTTAGGAGAGATTGGTTTTACTTTTTTTGTGAATATTCAACAGGGAAGCTTATTTTGAGTGTTGATTTACACCTTGACAAATATTCAACACAGCTGTTTTTGAAAACCTTGATTCTGATTGTTGATTACTGTTTAATTGTCAGACAAGTAATTTTGTTATGGAACTATTGATCAGTAGAAACCAAATTTAATCTTTTTCTTGAAATTTAGCCTTCACACATTTTGTTTTTCTGAGAGTGTTGAGTTTGCAAATATTCCTTCAACAAACTATTTAAATTTAAAAAATATAATAGGATACTAAACATTTTGAAAATAAATACTTATTCAGAATTGAAGAACATTTAGAATGTGATTTTGTAATGACAAAAATTACTTCATTGAGTGTCATGTAATTATTTATAAATAAAACCATATCACTATATCCTGTTTTTATGTAACTGGATTTGGACTAAAAGGTATGGAATTGTATCAGTAATACTAAGCACACACAACGTGGAATACAAAGTACACACGTGCCCGGTTTCTCAATCTCCTTTGCTCCTGGTTAGAGGTCACCTGAATTAAGTCAAATACTGACCTCACAATGTAGTGGTCACTGCAGGTCAGTCGATATAAACCCAGCCGGAAATTGAGCTATCATTTTGGTAGCATGCGGAGCATCTAGGCTTTGTCGGTTCATCAAATAAAAGAGGAATCCCTTTAAGATCCCTTTCATGGCCAGGAAGAAATTTAGAGAAAATCATTAAACTAGATGTAATGGGATCGCGTCAACTTTATTTGTGTTTTCCAAACTAATTTTGTTTCTGAAATATTCAGTTTTCATTTTGGGTTGCACTAATGGGATCACGTCAAAATTATATGTTTTTCAATCTGTAAATTTGCTGTTGAAATTTCCATTTATTATTTCTTATTAAGATAATGGGATAACTTCAAGAACATATGTGTTTTCTAATCTGTAAATTTTTTAAATTTCCATTTTTCATGCTTGATTTAAATAATAGAACTTGAAAAAAACGTATGTTTTCTAATGAGGTATTATTTTGAACATACATTTCTCATGTATGATTGAAATAATGGGATCATTTCAATATATTTGTGTTTTCCAATCCATAATTTTGTTTCTGAAATTCCTATTTCACAGGTTTGATAGAGAGAAAATTTACACACATCCCGGTCCAGTGTGGCCGACAACGTCCAAACAAACGCTAATGAAGAAGACACACATCAGTCACATACAAATCCATGGGAGCAGGTTACAAGGAAATGATGAATGGCAACTTTTCTGAATATAGTTTCACATTCACCAAAATCAGCCAAAAAATATTCACCATGGATGTATTGAAATTCATCGACTTGGCGACATGTGTCTTCCTAAGCTGTGACTTCCTGGCAACACAACTTACTGCTGTGTGTAGCGGGAGGCCAAGGCTAGGTACATGATCCAGCTCACAGCTCCACTCGCTAAATTAGGAATAAACTTGCTAAAACAAACTAAAAATAATAAGTCATGTGTCTTACCATAGCGAGGATGAACTCTTTGACTTCCCACTGCCAAGGGGTTTGAACAAAACGGCACTTGGTGCAGACTTTCTTCTCGTCGCCGATATGCCCCGCTGCTTCTGAAAAGGAAAACACCATTTTGTTAGAAACAGGTATTAGATATAGTTTGGAACTGTGATAGGTTTTTTTAACAAAATGGTCATGTTATTCATTCAACACCGACACAGTTCACAATTCAAGGCCTGGGCCCACTTGCACAAAGCGATCTTAGCGCTAAGACTATCGTAAGCCTTTGTTGAAGTATGGTAGTTACGATCATCTTATCGCTTTGAGCAAGTGGGCCCTGGTCTGAAATTAAAATTGAATTAATAAACTATTTTAAAAAATTATGATAAATACACAAAACAGTTCACAATTAATCTCGAGGCCTGTTCTGAAATTAAAATTGAATTGATAAATTATTCTAAAAGTTTTATGATAAAAACATAAAATTAAAAATGAAAGAATTATAGATTTCTACCAAACAAAAACATAAACATTTAACACTACCTTCATAACCTCTGAGAAAAGTGGTGTCAAAAATCACAACTGACCGAGTACTTCAGTGTTGATATTAATAATATTGACATAATGCATGTGTAAGATGAACTGATATGGTTATATGAAATCCATAACGAGGGTCCAGAAGCGATCTGATGATAGGTAGCTACCTGTGAATATTATACAGGCGAAACTTGACTCCTCGGGATAAACGCATCCTAAATGTCCGACATATTTGGATTGTTTGAAAATGAGGCTCCCTGAAAGTCGACACCTGCACAAGTAACGAGTACACCTGGATATAGGTGAGGAGGAGAAATGGAAATCTTAATCCTGTTAAAGGTCTACCTGACTATGGAAATTAACATGAGGCTCCACAGGGGTGCGTGATGAGGCAGTTTGTTGATTTGTTGATTTGAAAGTAGTCGGGATTTAACTCAGAGGGGGCTGGCGTGGGGATTAAGGATTATAATTGAAAAAGGGTGGTTTGAGCATGGGGTTTTTGTCAAATGGGTTGTTGACATTTGACATGGCTTGGTAGGAGGGACAATTGTGAGTATTGAAACTCAGGATGGGGTTGCAGTTGGAAGAGGTGTCAGTGAGACAAGGAAGTTCATTAGGTCACAAAGGTAGAGTGTGGGGTGCTCCTGGTGCTACACCTCATTGGGGACCCTATACAGGGGGTGGTGCATGAGGGGGTGGTGGAGGAAAGGGTGTGGTGGAGGGAGGGGGGATGGTGGAGGGAAGGGTGCTGAAGGGAGGGGTGCTGGAGGAAAGGGTGTGGTGGAGGGAGGGGTGTTGGAGGAAAGGGTGTGGTGGAGGGAGGGGTGCTTGAGGAAAGGGTGTGGTGGAGGGAGGGGTGCTGGAGGAAAGGGTGTTGTGGAGGGAGGGGTGCTGGAGGAAAGGGTGTGGTGGAGGAAGGCATGGTGCATGAGGGTGTGGGTGGTGGAGGCAGGGGTGGTGCATTAGGGTGTGGTGGAGGGAGGGGTGGTGCACTAGGGTGTGTGGGTGCATGAGGGTGTGCTGGCAGGGTTATAAATAACAAGTACCACATTTTAACATCTTTTGGTATGACGTGGCCGGGGATCAAACCCCTGACCTTCTGCTCTCCGGGCGGTCGCACTACCACTAGACCCTGGAGGCAGTCTGGCCAAGTCAAGAGATGTGGGATGGAAGGTGTGGTGGGGCAGTAGGGTGGAAGAGCAGTAGCGGTGGGGGTGAAGGGTGGGGGTGAAGGGTGGGGGTGAAGGGTGGGGGTGAAGGGTGGGGGTTGAGGTGGATTGTGGAGGTGGAGTGATGTAATGTTTTAAGGATGTGTTTTGTAGTCTCATGTTGTGTTGGTATTTAGAAGAAGGAGAGGAACCCTAGTTGATCCATCAGCAAACTCCTTCTTCAAACATTCCCAACCATAATATCTGGTCTCATGAGAATCAATGACTATGAGTCCTGTACAAACACAAGCTCACATGTACAGTCAAAAATTGGAGCCCATACTTTAAGTGGACTTAACATTTATTGAAAAAATTACAAACAAATAAATCTCTCTCCATTAGTGGATGAAAAAATGTATCCTAAGAAACAAGGCTCTTATAACACGCTTGTAACGCAGTGTTGGAGAGAAATGGTGGCCACAGAACAACAGCAAAACTTGGGTGAAACTAGACCAGGACATCAGCTGCCTGTTATATTAATGTAATAATAATAACACATTATTATTACCCTGGTCATTGCATCAGAGTGCTCTCGATTTCCATTCTCAGCTCCCTGGGGTGTATACAACCAAGGCACACTAGTGCATCTTATCCTACCGGGTACCCATTCACTGCTGTTGAACAGTGCATATTTCAAACAAAGTCACATGCCAAGGAGGCACCACATGCGCTAGTGTGGGGCATGACTGAAACTCCCAGGAGTCAAACAGGGTTACCTATCCAACTAGTCTCAGTGTGTAAAGTTGTTTAACTTCATCTGGTTTGTGACTTTCGGCTCTGACCTGTGAAGATCCGGGTTAGAATACCAACCTATGCTTGCCGAAAGAGGCGACTGACAGGATTCGGTGGCCAGACTCGCTGACTTGGTTGATGCATGTCATTGTATCCCAATTGGGTACATTGATTTTCATGATATCAATCACTGGACTGTGCAAGAACAATATCATAGTGAGTGAGTGAGTGAGTGAGTGAGTGAGTGAGTGAGTGAGTGAGTGAGTGAGTGAGTGAGTGAGTGAGTGAGTGAGTGAGTGAGTGAGTGAGTGAGTTGGGTTTAACGACGCTTTTACCAGTATTCCAGTTATATCGTGGCGTGTCAGCTTAATGTGGGAGGAAAGCCCGAAGTGATGCAGGTCTTCGACGTTTACCACTTCGGTAAACTCACTAGCACGGGTATGGTGCTGACAAACCTAGAAACATAATCAGGGCGAATCAGGGATTCGAACCCACACAATCATAGGTTTCTGGCGTGCCTAAGGGACGCAACTCTGTACAGCGAAACGCGGCGCCTTAGATGACTGGGCCACCCGTGCCCCCTCCTCGTTGTAACCCAGTACTATACACAATCAGATGCCTTTTAAACCCTCAACCTGCAATTACTGCGTTCTTCCAAACAAGGATACGTTAATCCCCATGATCTCAAGCTAAAACCAATACCATTATTCACTTGTATATTTATATACAGTAATCAACGTTTAAAACAAACACGCTTGTAACAAACTGACCGATATAAGGCACTTATGTTTCAGTTCTGGCCATTTGTTGTATATATGCTGTGTAAATGCTTATAACGAACTACAATTATTACAAACTAAAAAGAGTGGTCCCTTTGAGTTCGTTATATTCATAGTTAACTGTAAATAACATTTCTGTTCAACAAAGGCTTTTTCTTGTTTAAAGTGACCATGGCGAGTTCAAGAGAGGGCTGAATGTTTATTTCCAATTAGTTGTTGTGATGATAGCATCCCTTTTATGTTCTCATACAAATCTCTCCTGGATAGCTGGATAATAACGAGGGTCCTGAATTAATACTGGCGTCTATCAAATAGTCAAAATAAACTGACAAGCTGCAAAAAACATTGATTTGTTGACAGAATCGTCCGTTTGTATCTGGTACAATTTTTGTCTTTCAACCCCTGTATGTCGCCCACCATTGGGGAGCCTCACCCCTGCTTGACACCTACAGGTCAACTAGCTCCTTAATTTGGAAGTTCCTGCACTGGCTGGTGACATCCGACCTCTGACCCATGACCTTGGCCCAAGGTGACCACAGCATCTACATCTAACCTGGTTCCATCTTCATCAGGTCACATGACCTCACATCAAAATCAGGTCAAGCCCTAAAGAATGAAGCACTGAAGCACAAACTTATTTCTTTTAATCAATCAAAGATCCTATCTCAGTATCAGAACTGAATCTACACGACATAAGTCACTCCGATATACCACCGAAACCCCCACTCCCTACATACTTGGGATTTGTGAAGTATGCCTTCTCCAGATTGGATCATTTGCATGTTATTGCCACATAAACAGTCATGAATGAACCTGAAAGACCACAACTCCTGACGATTACAAAAATACACTACTGCCCGAAGGTGTGGTAAGGCAACACTGGCCGTTTGCTGAATGAAATTTTCTCACATGCATAACAAGATACACCCACTCTTAGTCAGACAATGACGACTTTTTGCGTATTAACCCGACTCGTTTAGAAGCTGTCCTAGGTACCCCACACTGAGACTGATCTCCTGACAAAGTTCACATGCTGGAGCAAGGTTGAGTCATGACAATCAAACCATACGAGCAGAACGGGGACCCGTAATTTACACTTGCCGTGATCATTGTCTGGTGGTGATTCAACTCCAGGTAACAATCACCATGGAATGGGAAACAGACACATGCTGTTCTGTAGGTTCACTAAACAACCCCCAGTCTCCACTTTAAACAAAATTTTAAACACTATAACAGTGTTACTTGACATACCATATTTGCTGTAATAAGAACACCAAACGTTTAGAAAATCGACAAAGATGTCCTACTAAAAAAGTGCTATACATTATTACAGTGTTACTTGACAAACCATATTTGTCAAAATAAGAACACCAAGCGTTTAGAAAATCGACAAAGAAGTCCTACTAAAAAAGTGCTATACACTATTACAGTGTAACTTGACATACCATATTCGCCCTAATAAGAACACCAAGCATTTAGAAAAGTCCTACTAAAATAGTGCTTTACAAGTGAAGTCTGTTTTTAGAGATCTAGCGGTAATAAACAAACTTAGTTCATACATTGATGAAACTAAAACCTTTTTGATAATAGTTACTAGGCAGTTATATTCCCTTCAGCACTGCTGTTATACTTTTAAGCATCTGTTATACCACAAGAAAATAAGGATTGTTATGTGACTGTTTGATAGGGTAGGTAGTTCTTATAAAGATTACTTACAGATAGGTCTAGTTGGTGAGGAGGTGTTTATTAGAGGAGGGTGTTTAATACAGCGAATACTGTATATACTTCAGGACAATATTACCTTACACTTCTGACTGAATTCGCCTTCAGTCAGAAGGGTTAGAAACTAACAGTTTT